AGGCAATGGAAGATTTTTCTGATGTCAAAATAACTTTTCCACTTGCGCTGTGGAACAATCCCTTATTTCCTACCTTAACTCAGAAAGGCAAAGGACAATTATCACACTCCTTAGATCAACTACAACCCAGGCCAGATTTGACACAGAATTCACACCCACTGCATCTTCTCTTTAGCTGTATCACTACATTCTGTATTCAATTTTATCCCCTTATGTATTAATGTAAGGTATGATTTGTCTGGATAGCATGCAAAAAATTATTTTCACTTTATCTCAGTAAATGTGACAATAATAAATCAACTCAAATCAAATCAGACACCCAGAACGTCACCATGCCTGTTTTCTCCACAGATGCTGCCTGACCTGTCGAATATTTTGAGAATTTTCTATTCTTGTTGCAGTCCTGGTCTTATCCAAGAGTCTAACTTTCTGTGTATCTCAGCAAGCTGCCAGGTGGAAAAAGGTTTTTGGCCACTACATTGGTTCACCTGGTTAGGGCAGTGATTAGTTGAGTCATCCAGGCAAGGAAAATCCCTCTTCCAATCCTTGCCCTACATGGTATCAGCTAATCTCCAAACGACACTTCAATTAGTCAAAGTGTCTGTCCCCAGATCTAGGAAGGAGAAAGACAATCCAAGGTTCACGGTACTCCTTGCCAAGGCCAAAGGGGCTGAATCAACTTTTATATTTTATGACCCTGTAATTTCAACAGGGGTGAACCAAAAAATGAATGACATTCCATGAATACATGCATTTATAATCAGGCCAAGGCACTGGGCTGGCTGGACTCTCGTTTTTATTTCATAGCATTGTGGAATTTTAATTCATCATGTCTGCCTTTTTTATTCTAACCATGAATATGTCAAACCACAAGTGAGGGAGGTCAGAACCACTGTAATTCAGTCAATGTTAAATCTCATTGAATTTAAGGGGGAGGCATGACCTAAGTGATATTGTTGCTGGACTGTTCATCCAGAGACCCAGATCATGTTCTATGGGACTCGGGTTTGAATCCCGCCATGACAGATGGTGAAATTTGAAGTCAATAATTTTTTAAAATCTGGAATTAACTGTCTAATGATGACCATGAATCCATCATTGATTGTTAGGAAAAACCCATCTGGTTCACTAATGTCCTTTAGGGAAGGAAACTGCCATCCTTATCTGGTCTGGCCTACTTGTGACTCCAGACCCACAGCAATGTGGTTGACTCTTAAATGTCCCCTGGCTATAATGCCTAGCCAGCAATGCCCTCATCCCATGAATGAATAAAGGGGAGAAAAAAGCCTGGTGACATTTGCCACAAGCACTGGCCCTGAAAGTGGTATACCACAGGACAACCACAGCATGTGGAATTATATCCTACCAAAGGTGAGAGGAGTCAATTGAACAGGGCACACTGGAATGGGCAACAGTGCTATTAGACAGTGAAAAGCTACCGACATTTAGTGTGGTGAAGGTGTAGGAGACCAGCTTTGTAATTTACAAGTCTTGCATTTTTACTTTGTTTGTTCTATTTGAATTTTGTAAGATTCAGTAAATGGAGATGTTGAACACAGGTAAAGGCAAGGAATCATCTGAATAATCTTTTGTGCATCTCCACATTCTTTTATGCAATCATCAGTTTCATTCCCTTTAACTACAGAGGTGCTGATGTCTGAAATTATATCCTTAAATATCTCTGCCTCTGCAACTCTCTCTCTCTTCTCGTAGGATGCATCTTAAAGCCTGCCTTTTCTATTAAGCTAATGGCCTTCTGTTCCAGTATCCCAACTTTTTACTCTGTGCCAATGTTTGTCAAATTTGCTGCTGTGATGTGCCAGGGGATGTTTTACTCTGCTTCAAAGATGCTATGAAAAATGCAGGTTTCAGTTGTCAAGAAGAATCATTTTGCTAAAAAGGATTTTATTAATAGTGCCATTAAATTGATTATCAGATGATTTAAGGTCAGCCGAGTAGTACAGCAGACATATTTTACCTTACCATCATTATCAGTATTATTATAATGAGCTGAATCGCGGACAAAACAGCTCTTGTTTCATGTACATGTAATGAATTGTATTGTATAGTTTTATTCTCAATCAATAACTACAGTGTGTTTTCGGTTAAACCATCAGCATTTGATGGAAAATTGACACTTCACAATAAGTCACTTCCTGCTTTGGCTTGATAAATCTCACACTATAATCTGTCATTGCTATTTTAATGAGAGTCATGGAAAGGAATGTGCTAGAGAACATATTTGTAACATCTGCTTAATTGTGAAAGCATCTGGTTCTCCCCAACTCCCCGCTGGCTTGATGAGTAAGTGTACCGTTTAGTGTAGAACTGAGGCACACAAGCTAAGAAGATTCACAGTTGCAACCTGGTGTGTATTGAATTATCAAACTTCATCTTGGGGTGGAGGGGAGTTAGGGAGATGCTGGGGAAGCTACAGTTTGTTCTCAGTGTGGGATTATAGAGGGGAATGGAAAAGAAGCAGATAAAATCAGCAGTTAGGAAAAGGCAATCTGGCCCATCAAGCTGAAGGGTCCTAGCTGAATTCACATCCTCCATCCTGGCAACTGTACAATCTGCTGGAAGGAGGGCAAAAGACCCAGTGCCATCACAAGAAAAAAATTCTGTGGAAAATTTCTCGTCCATGCTTTGTACTTTTGTCCCCAACTCACTGGCAATTGCACACCAAGCAAGGAAAGCACGGCAGGGTGAATTAAAACCCCACACCAACGCTTGAATAGTTCACTAAATAAAAACCAAAAGAACTGCGGATGCTGTAAATCAGGAACAAAAACAAAGTTGCTGGAAAAGCTCAGCAGGTCTGGCAGCATCTGTGGAGGAGAAAACAGAGTTAAC